GCAAAAAAACAACACTGAAAATATCCGCCGAGAGCCAACAGTTGTCTCTGGAGAAACAAAAATATATCCAAAAATACTGATCTGAGTGATCAGGTCAGATTACTCACCTCGCCCCCCCTGCACTCATGCAGTTTGTCTCATACAGTAAAGTTATGCCAAGCTCTGGCAAAGAACATAATAACGAACTGTGCTCTGTTGTTTTGTTTTTTTACCTCTTCTCCAATACTGAAAATGACCTGATAGAAATGTGGTAAGCAGTCAGCCAGCTGCTCTCCCACAGTATCATCTGTCATAAATACGAAGCTCTTTCACTCCTCAACCCAGAGCCGAGTTAAGAGAAGAGGTAAAGAGCAGAAGCTGTGAAAACATTGGACTCTAGCCACTGTTGGCTCTTCCCTTGTGTTTCCTTTTTTTTCCCATCTCATCACCACTCACCATTAAGTTCCACTTCCCATATGTGTGTTTCTCTTCCTGCGCTCCAGCTGTGTCATCACCTCACTTTTTACAGTCAGCCATGCTATTGCCTTCTAAGCTGTATTTTTTGCTCCTTTTTAATTATTATTATTTCACTCATTATTGCCTTTTTTTGGTAAGTTGTATTTGTCCGTGCCTATTTTTTTATAATTGGATGTTTATTGTATGATAAGTAGTTATGTCGACGTTAGTCCATCGGTGTACTGGGCTTGTGGGGTGGTTTTGTAGATGTGAGAAGCCTTTTGTGGATCAAACTCATAGACTGCTCTGAATAAATGGTGTGCATGTCTGGTGTGTATGTATGTGTGTGTGCGTGTGTGTGTATGTGCGTGCACGTGTCTGTGTGTGTAAGGTTATTGTGTGACTTTTACTGCTTGGTCTGGATGCTTTGGGAGCCACGCAGGTTTATCACAGAGTTGTCGTGCAATGCTGCCACATCTCACCTGTACACTTACGTGTAAAGATGTAACTCGGGGTAACCATAGATACCTCCAGGTAGGTGTGTATGCGCGTATGTGTGTTGAATGGTCAGCTAAGGTGGCGGGTGCAGCAGTGCTGGCCTTCTCACCGTTGGCGGGTTTAAGAGTCTTGAATGATGAGGATTTTGGATGGTGTGGCTCTTGGTCAGTAAAAGTCACCTTTTAATACAATCGGTGTTGATAGATTGCTGTGAATATACAGTTAACTTTGTTTTCTTTGTTTAACCTATATTTAAATGTATCTTTGTATTCTTGTTTGCATAATATGTTCTCTTGAGAGCCCCGATTGTGCACTTTGACAGAATCCTGTTAAATGTAGAACTTTATGACAATGATTTCCTTTTTTACTGTATCAGTAAATGTTCTTTGCTTTCATGTGACGTATAGAAAAGAGATTGAAAAGGGCCTGTCAGCTCCTCCTGTTGGCCACTGCCTCCTACGCTGAAAAAAACAGCAAATATTGCTGCAAAGGAAGCAGCGTCGTCATGACAATTTCAGTTGTCAAATTTTAGGGATTTGTAAATTTGGCACTCAGCACCATTACCTAATATCCTTTAAGAACAGCTCTGGTCATGCTTCACCTGTCAGGTATGATAACAAAAATATGTAGGGGGAAGTTGTTGGGTTTTTTTACATAAACATTCTTCACATTCCTCCAAATGGAGGTCAGGTTAAGGAGCAATACAGGTGGAAAAATGAAGCACCTCCTGATTCACCTGCTTGCAGAAGTCAGGAGGAGCGACGGGTTCTGTTGAGGGGCAGGAAAGCGGAAAGGCTGAAGCATGGGAGTGATAAAGTGAGAATCTGAGTGTGTGTGCGTCTGTGATTTCACTGAGTATTTACTCTTAAGTAGAGCACAAACTGTCATGTTGTGCTGATTTATTGATTTTCATTAATGTCTTTCATGTATTATTGACTTTTGATAAGAATATCCATCATTTTGTTTTTTTGTGTGTGTACTGTTTTGGTTTTTCTTTTTTAATCTTTTGCTTGTTGTGGTGAGTTGTGGGATTGCGTGTTGCTGAGAACATAAAAAGGACGTGCAGCAGATTACACCCCAAAAAACTGAGGGTTACAACTTGCTCACCAGAGTTAAATGTTAACACAGATAAGAGCCACATTTGAGATCCTGAAGTCAGTCTTGTTGGAAAAGCACCACCTGTGCCTTGCCTTGATATCAAGAGATGTAACCTCTTAAGTGCTGCCCTGGGTGCCTTAGCGAAAGATTAACGAGTGAGCAATTACATCAGATAATTGTGATATACACTGCTATTATTGTGTGCATGATGTGTGATACTTTAACAACACTTTTCTTGTGCTCTTCGTTTTTAAAAAAAATCTTTCAATTTTTGTAAACTGCAGTATGTTGAAATGTAATGGTTGAGTTGTTTATGAGAAACACCAATAAAGTTTTTCTTAATGTATCAACGCTTTGCTCTCACTCATTGTTAACAAGTGAAAGTCTAGAAGAAAACAATGATGCACCTGTTCAGATGCTCATTAATGCAAATTCCCGCTGTGATAGCCTCAGTGTCCTGCTCTTAGCTGACAGGAGTGGCACCTGGTGTGGTCTTCTGCTGCTGTAGCCCATCTACTTCCAGGTTGGGCGTGTTCATTCAGAGATGCTCTTCTGCACAGGTGTTGTTTTGACTTACTGTTACCTTCCCATCATCTTCAAGCTTTATGGCCATTGCCCTCTGACATCAACAAGGCCTTTTTGCTCAGAGAGCTGCCGCTCACTGGATATTTTTGTTTTTCGGAGCTTTCTCTGTAAGCACCAGAGATGACTGTGTGGGAGAATCTCAGTAGATCAGCAGCTTCTGAACTACTTATTCCTTTCTTGAACTTCAGCGGATCATTCATGGCAAAACACAGTGACTTGCTGCCATGTTAGGCTGATTAGATATTTGTGTTACGTAATGAGCAGCTGAACAGGCGTACCTGAGAAAGTGGCCACTAAGTAAATTGTCACACATGTTCATTGTGGATCATTTTCATGCCAGCAATGGAGGTAAAACTCCTCCAAGAGAAGATGTCCTGATATTTATGTTCCCTTCTCAAACAAAATGTAAAGTTTTCACTGAAATCAGAAGGCTGAAATGAAAAGCGATTCTTGTGGTCAGTGCAGCATGCAGTCAATGTGCCCCGAGAAGTTGTGTATTTTCTCAATCAAGCGATCGTGAGCACATCCGTTTTCACAACAGACCAGCCATAAAAAGAATGGAAACAAAGTGATTTATGTATTTCATCGAAACCACAACTATTGTCCCACAAATATCCATGAAGATGTCACAAAAGAAGAGATGCGCCATGTGGGTTTTGTTGCAAGTTGTAACAATCTGCTCCACAGAGCTGTGGACACTGTATTCACCAAGGGATGAGTCAATCACGCTGGTGAAGTTTTAATGAGTCATTGTGGTGAACAAGGGGACAGTGTTTAAAAGCAGCCGCACTTTTTAAAGTAGGATTGAGCAACCCATGCTTCATTATCAGGCCCTTTTTATTTAAGTCTCATGTGATTTATATTCTCCATATTATGCTTTGGTTTAATGAAAACCACAAAGAATCCTCTCAGAGATTGTTACCGTCTCGCTACATTTACCCCAAACATTATGGGAAAAATTGAAGACATGCCTTACCCATACATCTGTGTTCTGATATATGCAAAGAGCTCATCAGGGACATGCATTCTCAGACGGGATAATACTATACAGTTCATTAATCAGCTGTGATTATAAGATTTTTGGCTCTGGCAGCATGTTGTCACCTCAGTTATCCAGCTGAGTGGCAGCTAACATAAATTACTGAGGATGCCAACTCTGTGGTATAGTTGCAGGCCTGATCTGGTTTGAGTAAAATGCTTGGTTTAACTCCATGTACCAACGTGAGCAACACAGACCTACCTGAAAGTGAGACCATACAAAGGGATGAAGGGATACAACAATGAAGCTGGAACCGCTCACAGCCCACCTGCTCACCCACTGAGCTAAAGTGACACCCATATTAATTGAATGTTGACTGGAAAATACTGCAACTACAGGCACATTTACACATTCACATGTGCACATCTCAAGGTCTCTCTTGGAAATGAGATTTTTAATCTCAATGAGATTTTTACCTGGATCAATAAAGGACTAATAAAAAAAATTCCAGGTCTCCAAAAAACCCAATTTCAAAATACATTAAAAGCTGAAAGGTGTGTTTTGTACTGTTAATTAATGTACTTAGAATATGTAAATTGATGATCTGATGGGGGTTAATCTATAAATCATGACACTCCGCTGCCACATAACATAAGGTTAAAGTATCAGTATCGAGTATCATGTTGGTATTGACAATACTAGTGGTGTTTTTACTTGGTATCGGATCCACAGAAAATTTAACAGGATGTTGTTTGATCTTCTTCTCTGCTTCATTAAAAGGAAATGTGTACGTGATAGGACAATTCATTGCAAGAGCGCAGCAAAGTAATGTTGTATAACCCTGACAAGGTTATCTGTTTAATTGCCTTTATGATCACATGTTTACTGTGGAACTGATGTCTGATGAAGTGTGAAGCTCCGCTAAAGCTAAATAAGATGAACTGATCCCCTTCTTGTCTGGTGTTATTTGCCTTCTAATTAGTGGCATGCAGCCTGACAGCAGTTACAAGCTTAAACATGTTAGACTAATAGTGCCTATGATAGTTCAAATATAGCTTGCTCATACAAAGGGTTACTCAACCCTGTAATGCAATACCTCCAAAGAGTTCCACTGAATCAGACACTAAAAAACAAAACAAAAAAAACTTCCTGCAATGATAACACTGGAGTAAAATCCCCATAAAGTTCTTTAGAATAGACCATGATGGCTAGTTGTAATGAGGTTTGACAGGGTGGCATGCATGCCATCTTCATCAACATCTTGTCAGAGTAGTTAGTTTACTAAGGGCTTGTAAGACGGGTTACGCTTTTGATCATGACAATAAAACATCCTTTCCAGGGAAGCAGTCTTCTGAAAGGTGACAATACCTATCATTCCACGCCTCGTTTTCAATCCATTTGGTAGAACAGCGGTCCCTTGTGGCTGTTTGGCTAAACTGCAAGGCTAACTATCCACTATTTAGTTAGCTTACTTGTAGAGCTCGAGATTTAGCAATTCCCTAAACACGAGTGTGGTCTGAATATACTAAAAACGCAACGGATATGCTCACGTTGAATTAAAAAAACACACGCCTTTCAAAGAAACGTTGCTCCACATCACAGAGTACTCCAGAAAATTTGCATTTTGTACAGCCTGAACCGGTATGTATGTACAACTGTGTGCTAACGTTAGCTAAATTAGCAAGGTTAGCGGTTGCTAACGTCAGAGTGCTGCTGGCTGTATGGACGATATGTATATGTTTATTTATGATAGCGGTGGCGAGACACACTAAAATGCGATGTGCATTCGTGCTAAATGAATCTTAGACAATCGGTCGACGCTTGAAATAGCGTGGTAGGCAGTGGACATCCTGCTAACCCATGTTGGCATACCTGTTTGGCTAATCAGTACTGAGGTTAGCTGTGGGCATTGCTGTCAATTATCTATAGCTTCCCTGCTATGCAGCTAATCCTGTGCTAAGTGCAGAGCAAATCATGTACATCAGAGCATATAAGTGATTAGCTACACGTTTTCTAATTATACCCTTCTTTACAGGAAGCCATGTCGGGAATTAAAAGGAAGATAGAGGGCAATGATCCCGACTATGAGGACGTTTCTCTGGTCCAAAACAGTAAGAGAAACAAGGCGGCTGAACATAGTGGTAAGTTCATGCTCTGAACCCTGAGCCAGTACACCTGCTTTGCTTGTTGTGGTCAAAATTAGCTACCAGCTTTGTCCTGGTCTTGGAGATAAGTTCATTCCCTATTCCCTATTTTATCCAGCTCGAGAAGCAACAGTTCAGAAGATTGAAACCATCATCAAGGAGCAATTTTCTTTGGAGATGAAGAACAAAGAGCATGAGATAGATGTGATAAGTCAGGTATCCGGTGATACTTTCTTTTAAATCTGTTTTACTCTACTTTACTTGCTACTGCATAAAAACTTAACATGGACAATAACTTACAGGTCTTCTTCACGTTTAAGTGTAATACACAGCATGCCGGCTAACTGTTCTTTGCTTTGCAGCGTCTTAATGAAGCCAGGAGGATGATGGACAAGCTCAGGGCATGCATAGTAGCTAATTACTATGCCAGTGCTGGACTGACAAAGCTCTCAGAGGTAAATTCCCATTCATTTGCACACAGAGTTGGATGATACAGCCTCAAAATTGTAGTGCAATAGTAGTAGTACACGATAAGTCAAATGTAGGCACACAAGTAGCCTAGGTATTGTTTCCCCTGGGAAGTAAAAATATAAAATAACACTTTAACTGAACAATTGTTACACTTAACTATGTAAATCTGAAAAATCTTTTCCACCTAGGATGTTGTTTCTTAGGTAGAGCTTTTCCCCATCCCCCCCCCTGTTTGCTCTTCCTGTCATCTGGAGTGCACCTCGTGTATGAATCAGTGATGCTTGGTGGAGTCTTTTGTTGACATTTAGGTTGCACATCACCAGCTCTTAGTATCGCCTCCTGTGTAGCCTGGTTGTACTTTATGGTGTTTATTTGCCTCAAGTGGTGAAACACATTTGTGGCTTCCATCTTCAGCTGGAACAGTTTCCTTGCATATTTTGCAAAATATTATCTTTTTGTTCAAGGTTGTTGAAGTAGCTCCATTTTTAGGTACTAAATTGGCTCCTGAACATATCCCGACTGGTCTCATTGTTACATGCACTATGGATCATAAACACATGGCATAAAACTTAATAGTGGTGTTATTGCAGACGGTAATAGCCAGCTGTCTGCTACTCTATGTGGTGGTACAATATAGAAACATTGACCTAAATTTTCTTCTATGTCCCATAGCATACCTCCAAGAGCGACCCTGCTGTGCTGAACCATCCAGCCATCCGACGCTTCCTGGAGTCTCCTTCCCGTTCTTCTTCCCCTCTCAACCAGGGCTCTGAGACTCCATCGTTAGTTCAATCAGAGTCCGAGTCTCTCTCACAGCAAGGAGATGGTGCTGAGAGGAATGGAGAAGGGTCTTGGAGAGAGGACAGCAGCAGGCAGGAGCGCAGACCCGGACGCAACACAGGCAAAGTAAGTTCACCTGGCAGAAATTGTGGAGTTCTTGACTGTTTGATGATCGGTTACTAAAAGCATTGCCGTTGTTGTTGCCGTAGGACACATTTGGTGTACCATCGTCTGCAGGCACAGAGCAGAGAGTGACCTACCACTCTACTGGGGACGATGCATCTAGACTTTATGTGAAGAAGACAATCGTAGTAGGAAATGTATCCAAGTACGTAACCAAATTAAAAAATGTCTGTCATTTCTTTGGTGACTAATTACATTGTAACACATTTTTCAGATTAGAACTCAGAATTGAAAAGAAAGTGTTGTTGAAATAGATACTCTTCACATGGGAAGCCTGGTGTTTTGTCTTAGAATTTCAGAAACACACAATTTTGAGAATAAATGAAATGTAAAAATTTTTAATAAGAAAGTCACTTAAGCTTCGGGCAGGTATTATAGAAAAGGCTGCCTACCTGCATTCAGTGTTGTCTATTTTTTTTATTTTTAATCAGTCTTGGAGGAAAACACAAACTGCGATGGACTTGCTTGTAAACTACTGCATGTCTCTTATTTTGAAAGTTCAGTTATCATTCATATATCACTCAGTTATACCACAAATCGGCCATCTTGAACCGCAGCTGGTTTAGGGTTCATGTGCAGGATCAGAAATTAAGTAGAAAGAGAGCTGATTTTATTCATTATTGGCTAAACATTAGAAGAACTGTGGCAGTCGGGGTTGGTTTTCCTTATTTTATTTAGTAAGCTGAATTTTTCTTATGCATGATTGTGCACTGAAGAGATGAGCCACAAATCAGTTTTCCTGCAAGTGTGGTCTTGAAGAAGATTGAGAATACATTTTACCTAATTTATTTTGCCCCTGGGTGGACAGTTTTCCGTTCCTCAAGACTGCACAGGTAAAATTACACTCAGTTAATAATACGTTGGGATCCCACCTGCCATGATACTCATGAGCATGTTGACCCCAGACCCCATATAAATAGATACTCACTTTTTAATTGTACATTATTACGTAACGTTTTAGCTCTTATGGGTCAGACCACACCTGCTGTTGAACTTGGCCTTCATTTTCATGTTAGCCACACACCTGTAGAGTTTCGTGACTGCATTTTGTATAGTAATGAGGCTTTTATTTTGACAAATGGGTGCCTACCATTCGTCAAAGGTGAGGTTTTTTTGTTCCAGCATGACAGACAGACTCGAGCGGAAAAGGGTGCCAGCGATACTCATCATCAATGAAGCGCATATTAAGTTTAGAAAACTTTGAGATATTTTTTTAGCACACTTAATATTTTAGTATAGGTTTATTAATCAGAAAGCATTTGATCAGATGAGATTTTAAGTTCCTCCAGGCTTCCAACCGGTGTTTGATTTAAGACAGAAACTTTATGACAGAAAATTATTAAAGCGGTGTTGAAATTAGTCACGTAGCACCTCCTTGTCTGTCTCCTCTTTCCAAATACTTTGTAAAGATTTAAAGAAAAAAAACACCCCTTCATTTTCAGTCTCACTTTACCTTCCTGCTCTTCATCTTGGGTGGTGTTTAACTCTTCTGTAAACCATCTATGCATTACCTCAATCCAATGTTTTCACTACCTCTGAGATTTTTCTTCTTTGTTTATTATTCTCAGGTACATTCCACCTGATAAGCGGGAAGAGAATGACCAGTCTACTCATAAGTGGATGGTGTACGTCAGAGGCTCAAGGAGAGAACCTAGCATCGACCACTTTGTCAAGAAAGTTTGGTTTTTCCTGCATCCCAGCTACAAACCCAACGACCTCGTGGAAGTCAGGTTTGTGCCAGTTTTAGTGAAATGTGTTTTCAAGTGTTTTTTAAGCAGTCATGCAGTTTCATGTACTGATGTTGCAGAATAAAAGAAGTTAGAAAGAATTTAATTAAAGAGAAGAAAGAAGACAAAAAGAAAAAGATTTGTTCTTGCAGTGTTTCGTAGCTCTTAGATAAAATATTTACTTCTAACTTTGTCGTGATAAATAAGTCCTTTGATCCACCTTTTTCCAAGCATCACTTGCCAAAACTGCAAGAATTATACAAACAATATTACATAATAATTCTCAGCTCGGTGAAAGTCCTTTAGATCAACTTTTAGCAAACACTGCCCCCTCGTGTAGGTTTGATGATGCAGCGCATTCAACCCCTATCAGTCTCATCGCTTTGTAGAAAATCAATATTTGTCTTACCAAGCAGTAATCACTTCAGCAAAATCTTACAGCTTGTAAGAAAATTAAAAGATGACAAATTTGTTATGCAGATTGTACACACATCATTAGGCAACGTCATTTGCTGCACAGCGAGTCAGCCAGAACTCAACGTCAACAAGACTAATAGCAGGCACACCTAAGTGGTCCAGACTTGCCTTAGCCTAAAGCAGTTAGGTGTATAGATGAGCATCACACACTTAATTTAGCAATCATTCACAAGCAACAGAGGTTAGGTAGCCTTGAAATATGCACTTCAAATGTGTAATTGTTGGCATTACCCTCTAAAAATGGCTCAGGATTTAAGGTTGCCTGCAGCTTCTGAATAAATGATCTCTCTCATCAGTCAGCAGTCCTTATCCTCAGCTGTAGCTTCCCAGCTGTTTGAACTGACAAAGTGCTCACGTTGCTGTTGCAGCAGCTCACAAGCTCCCCCCACGTAACTCAAACCTTCACTCCCAGTGAGCCCTACGCTGATGCTCTCTGCTGACTCCCAGCACAGCCTGACTGTAGATGAAGGGATGAAGTGAAGTGGAAAAAAACACCTGCTTCACTTATAGGTTGCGCTTGAATACACACATGATACGCAGGCACATGCACATGCCCTTGCAGTCAGATCAATGTCTGTTATGTTGGGATGAGAATGTCAAGCTTCAAAGGAGGAGAACATGTGAGTTTTTCAAGTCATTGATTTTTAGGAGATTCTTAACTCGGTCCAGGCTAGAAAACAGATTGGTTTTTAAATAAAGGCATAGTGATGCATCTTTACTATATATTTTTTTCATCCTGACTTATATTTGAATTTTAACAGTGTTGCATAAGGCAGTTCAAATGTGTCTGTTCTCAGTGAGCCTCCCTTTCATTTAACGCGCCGCGGTTGGGGTGAGTTTCCTGTGAGGATCCAGATCCATTTTAAAGACCCTCGCAACAAACGTATTGACATCATCCACCAGCTAAAGGTCAGAATACTTTACAGACCACATCATCATTCACTTTACTTTTCTCGTTAGATGAGGACTCTTTGTCTTTCCTTGTGCCAATTTTCAGAGCCTATTGTAGACAAGCCAGTGGGTCTGACTTCTACTGCTGAATTTCACATATGTGTAAAGTGTACAGGATTTAGGCAGGAAACTTAAAAGGATTACATACATTCACGTCATTATTTTATTTTTTGACAAATATATAATATTTGCAGATTTTGCCTCTGGACACCACCACAGTGTATTTAAATTCAGTCAGTGTGTGATTGAAGTGCAGACTATCAGCTTTAACTCAAGGGGATTTCCAAAGATATTGCATTAGCAGTTTAGGAAATACAGTCATTTTTGTCCACAGTCCCTCAAAAAGAGGAAGACTCTGAAAGAACTGGACAACTGACTGACAAGCAGCAGAAAGCAACAATAAAACAAACCAATCAGAAAGATGGCAAAAATCCCCAAATCTATAATTTAAAGGTGGTGAACTGATTTGCATGTTGACATCATTGTTACATGATAACAATATAACATAAGAAAGTAAAACTCTTGAGGAGGTAGGTGTATCATTTTCAGCATCTAAAATCAAGACATGCATGTAGGGTTTACAACAAGCTGCAAACCAGTTGTTATACTCAGGAACAAGAAGTGCAGAGTAGACTCCGCTAGAAAAAAATTCAAAGAGCCTGCACTGTTCTGTAAAGAGTTCTGTGGATGAAATGAAAAATATGGAGAAGGAGAGCAACAACTCATGATCTGAAGCATACCAAATTACCTGCTGATAGAAGTAACAGGATGCATTCTGTGTGCAGGGCTGTGCTCTCTGCTCACATTCAGACAAATACTGCAGAACTCACCAGACAGCATTTTGCAGAGTAAATAGATAATGACCCAAAAGAGCAAGCAGCGCAAGTTTCTCAAGGCAAAGAAAACGTATTACTTTTAATGGCCAAGTTAGTCACTTGATCTCAACCCAACGATGCTTAATTTACAGTTATTAAATACAAAACTGAAGGCAGAGAGACCCACAAACAAGCAGCAGCTGAAGGTTTGTGCAGTAAAGGCCTTGGACTTCCTAAACAGTTCAATCAAGTCTTTTGATAAACCCCTTGAATACATCAATTAAAACGTCAACTGGGTCAACGGGTTTTATTTGCTGAGCTTCTACCAGTTTTATTAAATATTTTTTCATCTTAATAGCTGAGTGCTTCAGCAAGTTTTCTCCTGTTATGGCTTGCTTTTTTTGCCCCACTGAAAAGCACCTGTCTAGTATCTTTTTTTCAGTCTGCATTACAATCACGTTCGCCTTTTTAAACTAAAGAACTTTCATTGCTTTTAGAAATGCATAGTGATATAGTCCAGTTTGATTTCAGAGTAATTAGATGTTGACATTTCTTAAACAAATAAGTAACCATAGTATATTGCACTAAAATGTGTTTATACAGTTCAGTAACTCTGCTGCATAACTTTGCTGTCTATACCCTTTCTTCTGTTTTCCTACAGCTCGACCGAACATACACTGGACTGCAGACGCTCGGGGTAGAAACAGTAAGTTAGAAATATTCACTTTGTTTCCTGCTATGACTTTTTTTCCCTTCAGAGCTTCACTCTGACGTTGATTTATATTTGTTCCAGGTGGTTGATGTGGAGCTTCACAGGGATTCTCTTGGGGAAGACTACATCCCTCAGCCTTCTTCCTCCAAGGTGACTCACAGAGCAGCCAGCCCCACTTTGACTGCCTCTCTGGCCCAGACTTATGGACGCTGTAGTTCTCCTGTGTCACATGACTCCAGTGTAGACAAAGGTACACCAGCAGATTATTTTTGCACATTTAAAATAATAGGGATCATGTACCTGAGGGCGTGTATATACTGGACTGCTTAACAGAAAAGTAGGATTGTTTATTTTCTCTCCATAAAACTAAACCAGAATCAACCAGTTTTCAGTGGTTTCTTGGCCTTACAATCATTTTATGTCAGCTTATTATCAAAACCAGATGATGTTCAATAAAAATTGTTCTTCCATCTGCAGTTTTCATAAAGACAGAGTCGGGGAGGCCTACAGGTGTTCATAGCGCAGGCCTTGCTGCTGGTGAACACACTCCAACACGGCCCAAGGCCGGTGACAGAGTCACTCTGGGTTCCCATGGCAACTCTGCCTTCCAGCCTATCACAGCAAGCTGCAAGATTGTTCCCCAAGGACAACCACCCAGTCCTGCTGAGTCTCCTGGGAAATCATTCCAACCAATCACAATGAGCTGTAAAATAGTTTCAGGTTCGTGTCTCCACCCACTGTCCTTGTAAAATTGTCATATTGTTTCTAAAGAATCCAATTCATCATAAATAAGATGGTCTAAGTTTACACAATAAAGATGCCCTGTGATTATAACTTCTTTATTTCAGGTTTTGTTGAGGTGAAATCTGTAAATCACTAAGAAGTGTTGACAGCAAACGCCTCACTGACATTGAAGTTTGATGACATTATTTTTCCATTTGCTTGTAATTTCAACATATTGTTTCCCAGCACTGACCCTGATTCTCAGCTTAGTGAAGTTGGTATGAATACATTCATTGTTAGGAAGATGCAGTACTGCTCAGTAGGGGTTAACAAAAGCTTCTTTTGTGTTCCCACAGGCGCATATTTCTTGCATTAGCCAAACAAAGTACACAAAAATAGAAAAACGCCATTATGTTTTACTTCAGATTTGGAAAACTGCTGATTATATTTTCAAATGTCTGTAAACGCAACTGAAAACACAACACAGAGATTGGAAACAGTGGCAAAAAGGTCATGTGACATGAATTTTATCTTTCGATAACATATTTCAGAGCCCCTTTTAAAAATTAAGTCCAAGAGAATTACTCATACAATAACTGCCCTACTTCCTCCCCCACAGGGTCACCCATCTCCACACCCAGCCACTCCCCGCTGCCCCGCACACCCACGACCTCCACCCCTGTCCATTGCAAGCAGAGCTCATCCTCTGTGCTCAACAATCCTTATATCATTGTTGACAAACCGGGCCAGGTTATCGGCATGGCTTCCTCATCCGCTGCCTCCACAGGTACACTTCTCCTACTCAGTGTTAAAGTGCTGCTTGAAATCGGAAGTGGACCTGGAGCAAAATTGAGAAGCGGTGTCTGAGCCGCCCACATGGGATATAAAAATGGCTGTGAAAAATCCGCTTTATAGCAGGACAGACGATGAACAGTGCCCTTCAGACTTCTCTGTTCTCTTTGTTTCTCTCTTTGCACTTTTTTCCCTCTTTAATCCCTTTAAAGTCTACTATCTAACATTATGTATTCCCTCTTTGCTGTTTTTTTTCTCCCTACCTGCACTCCTAAATTATGACGTGTGGTGAGCCAGCAGGATAGTTGCTAAAGGAGAGGTTACCATGGTAACTGAGCCAATGTGTTTCATGGCCAGATTAGGGGGCTATTCGAGAAGACCCTGCACTCCAAACAGTTTTTTTCCTCTCTATGTGATGTGTGTGTGTAAGTCCCCATAAAAAGATGAGTTTTATTGCCATCTGAGCATTTTGCGCATCATCAAGCAATCATCTTGCATGATGATAGTCATTGTGTTTACTTCCTCTCAGCACCAGCATCAGGTCATATTCCACTTAGGAGCTCTTTCCTGTAGATTGCTGTCTCACACCCACTCAGCCACTCCTACACTTCCTTCACAAATGCACTGCTCACCCAGATTCGGCAACAAGGTTAGAGTGTTCTTAAATTATGTTTTATCAAAGTGGATGAGGTAGATGTGGGTGTTTTGGCTGATTCACCAGTCCTGCAGTAAAACAGATTTTAATGCAGTGCGTAAGGAACAAAACTTTGGTGGGGCTCAGCTCTGCGAGTCAGTCAACCCTGAGAGGAAACAGTCACCTGGCACCACAGTGGCCTCGATATCTCTCGAAAAGCTGACAGGAAGGGTGGTGAATCCTCACCCTCATCTGTGCTGTGACTTATTGTCTTTGTATGTTTGTTAATTATTCCACAGGAAGCCCATCCACTAAACAGTCTGCCACTCAGGGCACTCGCTCCCCAGCACCTAAAGTTCACACTGGCACCTTCCTGTCCTCAGGGATGAAGGTGAGTTGGTAGAGCCTTACTGGGTTACAACCTTAAACGTGACAAACATTATCCATTTTTACTGCCCTGTCCTCTAACTATGAAGACAGTCCTTGTATTATTTGTGTTTAAAGCAACATTAACAAAGCAGTGTGATATTAATAGTAAGCCAGGGTGCTATCTTCAGCAGCTGTGAGTGCCTTGGCAGCTATTTAAATAGGACATAGTTCTGAGGATGGGGGAGGGGGAGCTTTGCAGAGAGAATTGCACAGTTCTTTTTCACGCAAAATGTGTCATTAGCTTGCTTTAATGTCATCCTACTCGCACATGCTAATGATCCCTTTATTGTCCACAATGAGCGAAATATGATCTGGCCTAAAATTCCTGTTTTATCACATTGGAGCTCTGATTGGTTCAGATTCTTTAGTTTTCTCTGTTGTAAACTACAGACATCTGCTCTCACACTGAAAGGCACCCCAGATGAGGACATATGGGGAATATCAAAACATGGACCCGATGAATAAATGATGATGCTGATTTTACGAAATCTGTTTTAAGTAACATCTTTTCTTGCAGCACTGCAGCCTGCTGAAAAAAGAATAATCAGATCTTTCTTTACAGTCAGAGTGCATCGTATTAATCATTTTATGTGATGTTTTCTTTTAACCAGACAATGTAATTGGTAACTGATATATAGCAGCTGCATTATGAACCCGCTGTGGTTTCAAAGCAGTGCGGAGTTGTGTTTCGAGTCCCTCTCTCCATGTTTCCCGTGCAGGTTATTATCAAGCAAGAGCCAGGGGAAGTTTCAACACAGCAACAGCCGATGGTTTCCACAGTAACCAGTCAGCAACAGCAAGCTAGCGCTACAGCAGGACACCAGTTTGTTGCAGTGAAGGGGGGTCACATGATCTCCATGTCGGCCCAGAAACAGACTGGTGGAGGGACAGGGGCCACTAGTAGCAAGGTCAGTTGTCACCCAGACAAACCTGCACAGACGCAAACCTGCAATGATAAGTACGTATGTGTGTGGCCACAGTCATTTAAAAAAAATAGTTTCTTCTCTTTCTTCTAGATGTTGGGTATTCCTGTTAGCTCAGGGCTTCAGTCTTCAGTCAAACAGGTTGCTATCAGCAGTGGACAAATTCTGGTTGCCAAGGGCAACCCTTCTGTCTCCAAGGTGATGAGTGGAAAGCAGGTTTTGGCTCAGGGAGTTGCTAAAGCCATCGTCAGTGGAGCCAGTGGCATTTCTGGACACCAGGGTACCAAGGCGGCTGGTGGTTCAGGTGGCAAGAGTGGAGGTCAGAGATTAAATACACTCGCACACACACATAAAAGAACAGTTTCATTTTATAGCAGCCCAAGTTGTTGTTACAATTTCAAATCCCATCCTGGCTGTTGGTAGAATTACATGATCTTTGATCCCCAATTTAAAACCACAGTATGAAATACCCCCCGAATGACAGAATGGTTGCCCCATGCACTCAAACACAACATTACATTACATCGTAACCTAGTTGATTTCTGTATAACAGTGCCTGCTGTATCAAAAACGAATGATGCTACAATAGTGAAAAGTATTGTCATGTTTTCACTGTGACAAGTTTGGTATTAAAGGATTCTGGTGACATGCCAACTCCATCCATTCATCCATTTTCTTAACTGCTTATTCAGTTCAGGGTCACTGGGGTGCTGCAGCCTTTCCCAGCTGTCATAGGGAGAAAGGGAGTTATTCAAGTTGGACAGGTCGGCAGTCTGTCACAGGGATAACACAGAGACACAGACAAGCATTCACACTCTGTTCTGCTCTGGGTTTAACTTTGACTCTGGTGGGGGGAAACTTCAATGGGGTCATCAATGTTTGTTTGTTTTTTGTTTAGTTTTTTTTGGTTGTATGTTTTTTCTTTTTCCTTTTTTTAATAGTTGAATTACATTTAGAAACAATGTGTCTCTACCCTATATTAATATCATCTTCTTTATTTAAAATGTTTGCAGTTTTAGAGCTGAGTGAGTAATCATTATTATTTCTTTTATTCTGTGTTTGTTCCTAGTGATGGCTACACTTCAGCTGCCAGCCAACAACTTAGCCAATCTGGCCAATTTGCCACCAGGTACCAAACTCTACCTGACCACCAACAGCAAGAACCCCTCGGGGAAAGGAAAGCTGCTCCTCATCCCACAGGGAGCAATCCTCCGGGCCTCCAGTGGAAGTGAGACATGTTGCGTCCTATATTATTAAATATATAATAATAATAGTAAATAATATTTTTATACAGCCACTGTTTAAAAAACCCATATCAGTTTCCATTGACATGGCATTGCTCCTTTTGTGTCAGTGTTTTAGTCACATGCTTTTCTCAATCCTATTCATGTTTATTAAGACCAAGCAAAGGGTTTGTTTGTTTAAACTGCTCGGAGTCAATCTTTGTTGGATGTGTCACCATGTTTTAATAGAACTCTGTGACAGTGTATCTTTGTAGCAGCAAAATGGAAAATGCAGGTTAGCGTTGTCATGTTTTATATTTTAAGGACCTGCAAGATTATAGTGTATTTCATGAATTAATGTAGAATAATTGTTCTAAGTTTAATATCCCAAAGTATAGCTTTACCACTTAAATATGGTTTCCAGGACAGTCTCTGTGGACTGCAGTATGTGGGTATTTAATATCCAAGAAAACCTGCAACATGTGAAGCTGCACAACATTTTCTAGCAGGTGTATAATGTCATAAATTACTAGGTGTTAGAAATAGGCATTTGCCTGGAATGGGTAGCTTACTCAACAGTGTTGATAGAAACTGAAAACAATGCTTGATTTTGTTGGCAGCTCAGTATTTGGGGTCAGCATCCCAGGCAAAAACCTTTCACTGCGACATTTTCATCCATGCCTCCAAGTTGTAGACATCTGTATTAAAAAATATTTTGGCTTCCAGCTCATCATAAAGTTTGGAAAAAGAAATCCACTTCTGAAGTGACTCTACAACTTGAGGCATGTTAGTGCCAGTTACAGATATTGGCTGCTGCTGGACAGTGAGTCAGTTACAGTCATCTGTTTTTTTGCTTAAAGACATTTGGATTTTCACAGCAGTAAGCCAACATTGCACTGCCCTGCTCTGCTTCACAATCGTGCCTTTGCCCTTCTTTGAAATGGCAGCACTGATACTCTGGATTTTTCATATGAAATGAGACTGATCTATGTGGATTTCTGTAATTTAGGTCAGCAGTCCCAGAACAGCTCATCAGCGGTCTCTGGGAGCTCTCACAACTCCTCCTCCTCTTCCTCTTCAAGCAATCTACCTTCCAACCTCTCCTACACATCTTATATCCTTAAACAGACCCCACAGGTGGGTAGACCCACTTTTTCCTTTACTAACGACAAATGCAGTCACACACTGGCACAACATAATTGGCTATGTATGTATCTCATCTTTGCTTATTAGAGTGTTCTGTGTGTGTGAGTGTTGTGTGTGTGTGTGTGGGTGTGTGTGTGTGTGTGTGTGTGTGTGTGTGTGTGTGTGTGTGTGTGTGTGTAGATGTGTGTGTTTGTGTGCGTGTGTGTGCGCACGCGCAGAGGTTTCAAATTTCCACATAGACACTGGGTCCTGCTTTCCTAATAATGATCATTCTTCAAGAGCCATCTTCTTTTCTGTAAAATTTCATGTCAGTCTCTCTTATGAGCCAAAGAGCCGGCGCACTCCCACATTCTAATTAGGACCTAGAGGATCAATTGACCTGGAGGGCTAATTGAATTTTCCGTAGCTATTATGTTATAAAAAATTAAAATGTAATGGAAGCATTGTACTGCTTAAAATAGTCATACTGTGCACATCATATAACCTTGTACTGTATGTAATTTAAAGTCTAATATTGGTGATATATTAAGCCTGGCTGATCCTGTGTGGGTTTACTAGGCTGACCTGAAACCAGTTTTTATGGCCTTTGAATATAATAAGTCTGTAAGATTTTAGACAAAGACAAATTTTGTTTTTAGTAGTTACACCACTGTAGTGACTGATTTTGTGTGCCTGTTTGTATCCAGTAACTGAACACTTTGTTGGTTGGCTCTGTTGGTTTGAAATAGGTGACTGGCCTGTTTACTGAAGAATATCCCCGGTCTTTGCCTCGAGAAATTCTTGAGTTGCTTTTGCATTATGTTTTGCCGTATATGCATGAACTGTCAAAGAATTACAGCCGTTCACCACTAAAAAGGTGCTCAAAAGTAACTGGACTGACAGAATCAGCATCACGTTTACTGCAAAGTTTGTACACAAACAAGGAATTTCTCTTGGTGTCATGGTTCAAATACAGAGGTACAGAGGGTAATATCCTTAGTTATTTCATGATGAATTAAAAATATAAAATTTGTGGAGTTGAGTCCAGGCAATGAAATTGTATTGGACTGTGTCAGAAAACACCTGAAAGAGCTCGCCTACTTCTGGGGGGAAAACTTGAGACCAATGTGAACCAGACTCATGGGTAGTAAGTAAAAAAAATAGAGGAATTTGCAAAACAGATGGCCGGTGCTCCACAGAGAAAATGAATAATGACCTAAAGCATACTGCAAAAGCAACCTAAAAGTATCTCAAGGCAACGAAGAATAAATATTTATTATTTATAGAACAAGCTTTTCAGTTATTTAATTTAAAACTAAAGGTAAAAAGACCGTGAAACAAGCAGCAGCTGAAGGTGGCTGCAGTAAATGTCCAGGGGTTCTAGACTTCTGACTGCAAAAAATGTCATCCAGTCATTGAAAACAAGCGTTACACTGGAACATATTTTAATTTTCAGCATTTGAATGTGGTGCACTTTGTATAAGAATGCCTGTAAATCCTAAACAGTTAAAGCGGGACTTTTAAGCTCCTTGAATTAAAGCTGATAATCTGTACAGTCACACACTGATTTAAAATCCACAGTGCTGGCGTACAGAGGCAAAATTACACAAAAATCAGTGTCCAAAAACTCTTGGACCTGACTGTGTGTCATTAGAGCTGCACTTTAGTCATTCTTGTTCTGTTTTCTCAGGGTACGTTTCTGGTCGGTCAGCCCGCACAAGGTTCGGGGAAGCAGGGGAGTTCCGGTTCGGCAGGTCATGCTGCATCATCTCCTGCAACTGCTAGCCAGCAGGCTATTAGAGTGACAGCCGGACAGAAGGCAGCCATCTTGGCTCAGGTCAGTGTGGAGAGTTTACTGTAAGCTGTTCAGTGTGTAACACAAATGCTGCTGTAGTTACTACTGCTTCCGTGTTTCTTAGTTGTTTCTTTGACAGTCTGGTTTCGACACAGGCTTGTCTTTTGGGTAATTATCAGCAAAGGTCTTCCAGTTCTGTGATAGTAGGACTCGTGTGGGGTTTGCCAGCTCTTTTATTCCTGCTCTGCAGTCATTTTCCTCTTTAATATTCTTAATGAAATATTCATTCTTCTTCTCTTCTTTATTTTTACGCATTGCTGTATGTTACTTCACTGATTGCCTCCCTCATTTGACCACTAAATTATGACCGTCCTGCCAAATCTCAGATTTTGTGGTGGAAATGCTTTTGTATTTTCTTTGACAATGAAATATCTTCAGAAGTCTTTTCTTTTTCATTTGGAAGTATATGGATTAGTGTTGTGCTGGGAATATAATTTCATAACACAGTTCACGATCTGTCATCCACACACTGAAAGTTGTATTTTGCACATTGTTAGAGGGGCATGCTCATTTCACGATAGTGTATTATAGAAGTATAATTGTTACTAGAAATGTCACTGCATACTCAGCGTTTAAACAATGCTGCCCTTGCAACAGAAATATGGCCTACTCAGCTAAATTTCTTTTTCAGTTTTATAAATGTACAACACCATGTAATTGTAGTTATCAAGCAAGGTGTTATCCAGCAGGACTGCAGTAGTTCTATGAAATAGACGGTTATATGAAGCCTGTGTCAGAATAAACTGGCATAAAAGGACTCGGCCAGAGGATAACCACATCTTTGTACAGGATAAGAAGGCTGTTGTTGCTAGCTCTGCTAACATTAGCCACACTCCACAAACGAATTTGACCACCTAAGTAACGTTATACAGGCTGCAAGCTATGTGCGGATCATGTCTCTCCACGTATTACTTCAGCATTACATTAGTCTAATTTGTGCTAGACTCAGTTTAAGTCGTTGCATCGCCTTAATTCTGCAAAGTAAAACTTTCTAAACTGTCTAAAGATGTAAAACCAACGTGTGATAGATGCACACTGGCCCCGGGCTCATGGCACATTCTTACTGGCAATAAAATTTGCAGTTTTATTGGAGTTTAATCTTTAAAACACTGTCAGACAATTTTTGAAGTGACCATTCAACCAGATCTATTTGTTACCATATTTAGTCTTGTGTGAGAGCGTTAGGCTCAAAATAACAACTTGTGTAACATTGTTGTCAGCCGTACTATTTACTATTGTTTTATTGTTTGGACTAGAGTTAAACTATTTTATCCACGTGCCAGTTTGTTTTAATGTGACGTCTTTTTAAAAATCTGTGTCTGTGTTGGCTGTGTTTTGAAAATTGATATTTATTTAAATTATATTTTATATTTTTGAAAATTAATTAAATGAAAATGTAATCAAGCTTTTTACAATTTTCTTAAATACCAACAGAGACCATCTGTACAGATCGTGTCGCCCTCTTTAATCAATGTAAATTAATCACCAATGACATATGTGGTTATTATCCTAGGCTGATTTTAAGGTGCTTAAGAGAAAACATAATTTGTGCTTGACACACTTTTTTTCTGTTTAAGGTATTGCGCCATCTTAATTTTAATTTTAAGTTAAAGTTTATATAACATCTCCAGACATAGATCCAACAAGAAACAGTATAAACGGTGGATGTAGCTACCAAGTGGTCATCCTCTGGTTTTTGAAGTTTTGTTTGGAAGAAACAAGATCAGCATTTTCACTTGGTTTCATCTTGGTTTAAAAAAAATAAAGTGATGAGGAGGGGCAGGTCCAATTGAAGTCATAAGCCAATGAACATACCTAAAAAAATAATGCTCTTTTTCAAAACATAGTTTGACCAAGACTTTTTTTATTCATTGTAAACTGTAACTGAGTCCATAAACTCATCAAGAAAGTGGTTAGAGGTCAAGACAGAAGGCTTTCCCATAGACTTCTGTAGCTCCAGAGGTGTTTCTGCAACCACAGCTATCGCCATCTGGTGACTTTTAGATACACTGCAGGTTGAATGTACTTCCTCACTGGCTTAATTTTTCCAACTGCGAAGCCACGTCCATGTTTTATGCTGTTCATGGTTATTAGATCTGGTATTACATCTTAACTCTGAAACACAGATTGGAAAACAAAAAAATATTATTCAAAGATGGCACTCAAACACTACATATGAGTGTAGTTAGTTTTCCATTGGTTCCACTCACAATTAAAATGAGCTGCAACAGTGAAAGACCTGTCCAGGGTGCTGCTGGTGCAAGCACCTGATTCTCCCATGTGCTGCTGAGCTGGAGGTGGACAAGTCCCCTCATGCATTTTAATCATTCTCACTTTATATAACACTATCGAATTTCCCAGAGGAACCCACCTGAGGGATTAATAAAGTTTTATCTTATCTTACTATCATAGCAGTTTCATTTCTTATTGTTTACCCAAGTGAAAACTGACTTCAGAGTTTTAGTCAGACTGGTGTAGTGTTAGTTATTTTACAGGGTTTTTTCTGATTAAAAAATGGCTTCCATTATCATTTTCATATGAAATAGTCTATAAATACAATAATTACATTGTTGTATTACATTGGTGTGCTGCTCCTGAACAGTGCAAAACTCAATAATATCATTGGTAACAAATGTAAAAGTGATTCCTTACTATTTACTGGCAACATGGCTACTGTGGAAATAAAGAAAAAAGTCTATGTGTGTATGTTTGTCAGAGTTTAAATCTTTTTTTTTTTTTTTTTGATTGATTGTGAGTTTTCACCTCATGCCTCCTTGACAACTTCAGCACGCTGCACGTGGGCTGCTGCTGCTGATGTTCTAAGTGGGTAATTGCTCGTCCTGTAATTGACAGGTGGTGGGCAGCTCCCAGGGTGCACAGGTGAAGTTGCCTGACGGCTCAGTTAAAACAGTAACGGCAGCGGGAGCAGGCCACTTGTCCAAGCCGGGCACCACCACGTTAAGGATGACAGGTGGAGTCATCACCGCTGCTAGCTCCACGCCTGGCTCTGTCAGCAGTGCGAGCCAACAACAGGCGAGTTTCACAGTTTTTATTTACATCCCTTTTATTCTGCATGGCAGATGTCCCTATGTAAGAGTCACATTAAACCAAAGAGCTGTTAGCATTTATTTTATGGTTGCAAGCTAGTTATGCTGTTTTTAATTACGCTGGATTTCATACCCACGTACAGATGAGGACACAATTATTAGCCTCCCTTTGAAAATGTATTTATTTTTCTAACACAGCTGGAAGGAATTTTTAACATCCTAGTTTTATTTTTTGGATGCTTACATTATTTTATTTTGTGCACAGAAAGAAAATTATCTCACCGAAAATTAAAAATTACCAGGGTCAGAATTCTCAGCCACACTGATGCTAATGGTCAGTTGTGACTGGATAACAGCCTGCAGTCACTTGTTTTAGCTTTGAAACTCAAACTCACGTCCTCCTGAGCAATCCCAGCCCATTCCTCTTTGATGAATCTCTCAAGATCCTCCAGATTTGGTGGTCTGCTTGGTCTTCAGTTAGCCCCACGCATTGGAGTGGGCAGGCGAGCGGTGGCATGAACAACCATCTCTGTGAACACGATAATTTGAGAATGAGGGAACATAGGATTTTCAAATTAATACCATTGATCCATCTGCTAAAAGTCTGACGAGTTTGAAAAATGTTGATCTTGACTTCAAGGTTTCTGAAAATCTTGTAAACACAGTAATTCGAGGCAGGTGACAGCTAAGATTTTCAAACTTATACCAGCAATAGTTCTTATCTGCTGGGAGACTGAGGTTTAGCACTGGTGGCTTCTAGTATTTTTCTTGGTCTGCAAACTCGCAGTCCATTCCTGTGAAGGGTTCTGATGATTGTCCCACAATTCACGACTTGGCGAAGTCATTCACTAGTGTCCTGGCAGCTCTCACTAGTGTCCTACCTCTGCCAGGCTTGTTCTGTACTGTGAGGCTCTCTGAATTTACTGATGATACTTCTCCATCTCTTGCCTTGTGAGCACCAGTAATTCTTGCAATTTTTGCAAGTCTAAACTGATTTCTTTTGGGGGTTTTTGTTGTATTTTGGCATGATGCTTTCTCAGGTGAAGCTCAAACTCTTGCTTAAGTTTTTATATTGTGTGTAAACTGGAAGAAAGTCCTCATTTTTAACTTGCTTTTACAAGCTTTGAGCATTAAAGCACATCATTGCACATTTGTGGTTTGTGCTTTGGCTCAATTTAAAAGATCAGTTTTTGGGGGGTGTTAATATTGATCCTGGTATTTCTGCTATTCAGAGCAAATAGAAATAATTGATGCGTTCTAAAGGAAACCTTGCTATGTCCAAAAAGCTTTTAGGAAAATTTAATTCCCCTATGGAATTAAAATCCATGGAGGAATTAAAAATTTTCAATTCAATAGGGGAGCTAAAGCTTCTATGCTCATCTTTAAATCTGGTATTATAGATACTAGAAGCACCCTGATTTTGCAAGAAATAACGCATTTTTGTATAAGTGGAATTGGAAAAAAAGGCAGTAGAGATACGCAGAAAACAAATGATCCAGCCTGAGTGCAGTGGCTCGCATGTGTAGGCACGCTGCTGTGTATATTCATAAGCATCGGTCTGAGTTAGGATGATTACATCTTTAGAGTCAGTAGCTAGGCATCATAAAACAGAGAAATTGCAACACATAAAAAGATTTACTCGGAGCTCCAACAAACAAGCCAAAGAGGGGGAACTTCTCTTTCTGAGGACTCTCTGTGAGGAAAAATGGACTCTTTTGTTTCTGAGATTCCATAAAACCAGTGACCTGATCAGCACAGCTCATTCTGAGAGCTGCGTGGCACTAGAAAACAAACATCAGCAGAAAAAAGAATACACCAACTCTCCTCCAGGCACAGCCACAGCAATCTTCTCTCACATATACACTACAGTGTTTTTGCAAATGGACTTGGTCTGTGATATTTTTCATATTTATGAACACGTTCGCTGTCGTGCAGCTCCAGATAAGGTGAAATGCTGCTGTATATGTTTTTATACCTCACTTTATTAGCTATTTTGAAAGAAGGGATTTGTAAATAAGTGTGTTGTTTAATGAAACCATGGTCTGCCATCCATTGTGAGAACAGGTTGGACACTTGAGCTTTTGCTCACTTTGGTTAGCTCATTATCAGAAATGTTAAAGGACATAAAAGAGTCTGTGTTTGCTTATTTCCTGCTTGACACGTGTGTTTCCGTGTGTCCATGCAGGCCCTCGATGGTGGGAAGTCTGCTTCTCAGCATCACTCACTCCTGATGGCAGCCAACCAAGCAGCAGTAATCAACGCAGCAAAGAACACCAGCGCCGCTGGTGGGGGCAGCAGCTTGTCGAAGGCAGCAGTGGCCTCCTTGGTGAAGGGTGCTGGAAACCCTGCTGCGATCGCAAAGACTGCTGGAGGTTCAGCTGGTGCTGTAGTAACAGGTGCAAAGGGGATCACCAATATGCCTGTTATCAGCATGTCCAAAGGTGTGGGTACTGTTGTGGGTGTGCCCAAAATCAGCAGCAGCGGCGCATCCCTGGTTTCTGCAACTTCGTTAGTCAGTGGAGTGGCAGCCGCCGGAGGAAAAACTGGTGCTGCTCTCTCGGGTAGGCAGAAAGAAGCCTGTTTCTGCATTAACTGTCAGGTTAAATGTTAATGCATTACTCGAATAAACAGAGCACCTATGTTTTTGTTTTGGAAAGGTATGCTGAAGATCCATTCTGGAGGTTCCAGCTCCCAGCAGACTGTCTTAACCATTCCTGCCAACCAGCTCAAGCAGCTGGGAGTTGGAAGTGGGTCCGGCGGACTGCAGACCATCTTCATGCCTGTGGGGAAAGGTGAAATAAACCCTCAACAAAACAGTGAATTCTAGATTAATAAACTGGGTCCTCCATGATAACACAAGATACTGCACAAACAAAGGTTGCTTTGTTGGAGTCTCACTTATTTTTAATAAGTTTCTGAGGGTAAATCTTAAAATATACAAAAAATATGCAAAATATGTTTTTCCTCATATGATTTACAGTGTGAGAAGTTACTTTACGCTCTAAACTGAGTTTATGTTCCTTCGTTTAAAGATGGCAGAATGATTTATTTACAACACGCAGGAAAACAGATTTTCATTATTTCACAGTTTTCCTAAGTGCAGCTTCTGGAAGACCTGTCATCCTACCCTCTCATTTTTTCATCCACTCGTTAAGCCCGTGTACCTAATGGCCCACAATCCATTCCTGTGTGTTTTACTCTGTTTGTAGTCGTGTCAAAGGGCCCAGTCTCCAGTACTCCTTCCTCCTCCTCCTCCTCTTCCACCACCCCTGGAGCACCTGGAGCTGGAGCCTCCCCAAGTCCTGCCAGCCAGGCCTCCCCCTCCCTTGCCCTGCCTCTGGTACAAGGTGAGGGGTCCATCCTCACTCCACCCGCTCTCCTCTTCTTTTCCACTGTACTCCCAAACTCCTCTTTCTTTGCGTATAAAATTATTTATTTTGCTTAGAAGCACATTAGGCTGTAACTAATAAACTCAGATCCCATCCCTGTAGTCTCATCTCATCATTTTCTTTTATCTCCCAATTTAAAATATATAGTATGCATACTAATAAAGCAACCTTCTCTAACACTTGCTTTCTTCCACAGTGAAGACGGAGCCAGGTGCTGGCACAGCTGTCACAGCTGGTCCATCACCCCCGGTGACTACTCCTGCCCCCGCTTCTTCTGTCCACGTTGCCTCTGCAGCTACCACAGTCAAACAGGAACAAGGGGCAGAAAACTCATCGCACGACCTCATCAAGTAAGGGCAGGGACCTGTTACAATCACATACAGTGAGTGTATACATGAAAGCTTCTTGGCACCTGACAGCTGTGATTGTCTTCTCCTCAGCACTGAGCATATAGAAACCATGATGCAGCTGCTGACAGCCGTGGTGAAGAAATTCCCTCTAATTGTGCCAGATAAGAGTAAGTGAGCTCGCCTTTCATTTGATGTATGTAAAGGAAAAGTTTACATCAAAAAAGGAAAAGCTGTCTAAAAATTTGACACACTGGTGTATTTCTGTTTCTTTCTATAGCCGAAGACTCACATCCGTTTTGTGCCTCGTCGTCAGAACAGTATTATTCCTGGAATATTGGCAAGCGCAGAGCATCAGAGGTGACCTTTTGTTTTGTGTTTGCTTTTGATGATAAAAATTTAAATTCACAGAAGTGCAGTATCTGGGCTTTCAATCAGAAAGCCTCATTAGAGTCAAAGTGCTGATGAACCAGCAGAGATGTACATGTTTTGTTTCTGGAGCTGTGCAGGCTTGGAGTATATTCAGGGTTTTTCTTGAAATTATGCAAATGTGTTAAAGTTTTTCTCTCTCTTTTTTTTTTTAAAGCTTTCAAGCTGTCTTTCAAATAAAGAACGCAGGCTTTTTTCTTTTCTCTGTATGGATTTCCTCAGATGAAAGTTTTATTTAATCCCATCTGGGGTGACAGCACTCACTTACTAGCGTTTGCTCTCCAGGTTCCAGCTTGAGGGCGTCTGTGAGTGATAATTTGCAGTGTCTGCAGTTTTGGTGCCTGTGTAATCTCTCTTCATGCAGCATCCCGACTCAGAGAGTTTTCTGCTTGCCTCATGTCTTTCTGTTAGGTCACATATATATCGCTGCCTCTTGTCTCCTGTCATATCTTCATCAGTAGCTCATACAGGCCAACCCATATTGTAGCAGTCTGTTCTCTTTTTCTATTGCTATAAAAAAGGATCCCAGACAAGCCAAGGCATAGTTATTTATATCTACAGGTCACTAATTTACACAGAGGACAGGGGACTCATCACACATCATTACACATTATGAGGACAGGGAACGATTAAGTGGTGTCTACGGGCTGGAGAAAAACTGATTCTGCACAGCAAATCTGTGTGTTTGCTAATGAAATGAAAGTCCTATATGCACATCATCCCACCTCAGCAACAATCTGGTAACACTTCAAGGGACTTCCAGGCCCAGCATGACTAACCATCTGGCAAAATGAAAGGAACGAGAGCCATAACTTTAATTTCAGTGTTCATCAGGACGGGAGGAAAACGAACTGCATCTACACACGTTACTCAAGATTCGTCCACTATATTGGTTGTGATCTAATCACCTGTTGCTAGGAAAACATGTATTCATAGGTAGCAGATTGCCACAGTTGCCTGTAGTTTTTACCCCATCACCCTTAAACGGTTGATGGGTATTGCCGTCACCCTGCCAGCCAGGCAGGCAACATGGACGCTTACGTTGTGAATGCAATAACTCGAGAACAGAGCGATGTTGAAGTTTCAAATTGATACCATTGATGTCTCTACTAAAAATCCCTGGCAAGTTTGAGTCTCAGTAACATCTACGTCAAGGTAGATGGTTCTATTCAACAATATGTTGGCAACCAAAGCAATCACAAGGAGGTTTTTAACCAGCTGGTTGGAAATACACCTTTTCATCCTATCAACAGGTGGTTGCCAGGGGTCTGTAGACCTGCCTGATCGGGGTTTTAGCAGTCACTTTCCCTGCAAATGGAGCGTTGATCCTACAGTGTCACATGCCCAGAATGGCAGCCAAGTTAATGCCACTTGCGTTCACATGTGGGAAAGACCTCAATAGAATAAAATAATAACATCAGATTTCAAAAGACGCTCAGAAAGTCATTTCTTTGCCCAGTTTAAGGATTAATAAGCTTCCCCGTGTTAGACGTCCCGCTAGCCTGCTGCTTCATTAAGGCATCAGAACAGTGAGCTGGCACGATCAATGTCTATTACTCATCCCACCGGAGCATCGAGCAAAAAGCATGCTAATTGCATTTGTTCACACTGCTTTATAAGCGTTTTTTGGATGCAGTAGGCTGAAAGGAACCAAAAGGACACTTGCCTGTATGTTTATTAGGATAAGGAATATAAAGTATATGTGTGCCATCACACAGTCAAAACTCTTAGTCACCCCAGCTGTGTGTGTGCAGCAACATGACCTGTTTGTGGCTGTACAGCTTGTGATTGATTGATTTCTATTGTCTCTCATCATCTCTCTGGTTTTGGCCTGTGTGCAGCTTCAGCGAGCCGTAGCGGTGAAGCGGGTCGTCCAGGACGTGTTGGATCGCTCGCCCCGTCTCCAGGCCCTCACCCCGCCAAAGACCAGAGAGGTGGTTCAGTGGTGTCGACAGAGGGGTTACACGCCGCCTGACCCCGAACCCCCACAACCCAAGAACGATGACGAGTCCATCGAGGACATTCTCACTCAAATCGATAATGAGCCTGGTAAGTTTGTGCCTGTGTGGACTTGGTCTACATCTTCTACAGAAAGATCGTTTCACTCGGTCTTGTTAAAGCTCCAAGCAGATCAATATTTTCGCCTCAGTGTTGCATGTGTGGGTGTACTGTTTCTGCACCTACCAGTGGATCCAGTAATGCGTCTGCAGACCAGTTGTGTGCGAGGGCGGCCAGTGTTCAGCCTCAGTGCTTTTGTTCAGTCGCATTGTTTAATTTGCAGGGAACTCTTATTAATTCCATCTTTTTGTCTCTAAAGGATGGGTGGCGAGGCCGTTTAGCTCACTGAGCCAAACAACATGATAATCGGTGTTTGTGTTCTACTTGTCTCTGTCTGTGCAAACGTCTTCATTTGTAATTGTTGCGTTGTTGAACTGCTAAAATGAGCAAAGATCTCACAAAAACCCTCCTTCACATGTCTAAGTTTTGCTTTAAACCACACAGCCGCGTATCAAGAATCTGTAACCTGAGAGATGCACCGAAGCAGTCGGCGTTTCTGCTGATGCTGCGGCTTGTGAAATGATGCGTTAAATGAAGGGTACGTGTAAATGTTCCCGCAGAGTGCCCGTCGACCCTGAGTAGCAGCGAGGAGCTGGTGCTGCGTCTTGAGCAGATGCAAGCTCTGCTCAAGACTGAGCCAGAGGAGGCGGATGACGAAATAGTCGACATCATCACGGTGACTCCTCCCTGCCACAAGCTAAAGGTCAAAGAGGAGGAACAGGAGGCTGACCCGGAGCCCAAATTCTTCCTGGGCGCCAGCCTGTCCGATCAGTTTGTCAGTGAAGCAGCTCAGCAGGTTGGGACCCTCTCTGGGTTTTGTTTTGTTTTTTCCCCTAAGAAATGTGGAAAAAGTGAAAACATTCAATCGGTGATTTCTGATTCCTCTCCAGCTTTTAGCAGCTAACAGGAGGGCACACCACTTTCCCCCTTTTTTTATAAGATGAACACTGCCTCTTTCAGATCGGGGTAACCTTCCAGCCGGTGGAGGTGGAGAAGAATGTGTTCGCTCCAGTAATCGAAGCCATGATTCTAAAGGTTGGTCACTGTACACAAAACAGTAACTCATGAAAAATGTCAAGAAACACTTGACAAACAGTCTGAATATGAATCCTGAATGCTTGTTTCACTTAATCACGTTGTGTGTGTTTGTGCCTGTACGCTGTAGGCTACAGAACAGTTTGCAAGTGACATCCTGAGAGAAGCGCTGGCTGGGGCCTACGCCAAATCCCCTCCAAACAGGTCAACCTTTTTTTCCTCTTTCCTCTCTAGCATGCGACCTGCCTTAAAGCTCCAGTTTTCACTTTATTTTTTTATATTTGGGCCTTTTGCAGCCAACTGAGTTAAAATAAAAAACAAAGAGTGAAGTAAAAAAAAAAACTTTTTTTTTTCTTTTGATGTTTTCTAAACAAATCCATCCATCCATCCATCCATCCATCTTCATCCGCTTATCCGAGGTCGGGTCGCGGGGGTAGCAGCCTAAGCAAAGAGGTCCAGACCTCCCTCTCCCCAGCCACCTCCTCCAGCTTGTCCGGGGGAATACCA